TTCAGAGGACAAGCATGGACTCGCCGAGTCACCTGAGTGCACTCGACGAGTCTGGTCAAAGTTGACCGTTTACTAGAGTTGACTTCAGTTGACCATAGGGTCTTGGTCAAGCTGATTCAAGAGAGGTCAGGGAGGGGTAGAATGGTCTTCTACCCATTATTAGAGATGAGAACAATAGAAAGTATTAATTAGAGATGTTTGCCTTATGTGTTAGGCGGAGGCTCGGTCGAGGTTATCAAGCCAGAAGGTTTACTAGACATCATGGGAGGTGAGTCTTCTCACTATACTGTACCTGGAAGGGTATCTATGTGTGACCGGAAGGTCTTATATGCTATGAGATGTATGAGTTGTATGTTGTTATGTGATATGTATGTGTTATGTATGTGTTATGTATGTTATGTATGATACGGACCGGAAGGTCAAGATGATATGGACCGGAAGGTCAAGAGGTTACGGACCGGAAGGTCGATACGGGTAGGACCGGAAGGTCTACCGGGATTCAGGACGGAAGTCCCCTGAGACATTTGGATCGGAAGATCCCACAGAGTTATGTCCTGGAAAGGCGTATGTGTTGTATGTGGTATTTTGGGGAACTCACTAAGCATTTATGCTTACAGTTGTTGTGTTATGTGTTTCAGGTACTAGCGAGGATTGCGGGAAGGCGCCGGCATGGTCTGTACACACTGATGAAGATTTATGTACTTGAGATTCTGGGGTTGTTCATTGAGATATTATGTGATACAATGGGTTTTGTTATGAATGAATTATGTTTTAAAAATGAAAAATTGTTTGAAAATTTATGTTGTTACAACCGATTGATTTCCTTATGCTTTGATTGATCGACTGGAACACCTCCCTTGCCACTCCCACTCACATGGATGAAAATATGTTGCTACCTTTCGGTTCTTTTGAGACTCCAAAATAAACAATCTTAGAAACCCTCATGAAGGAGGAATCTCACCATGCCAATTATCCCTTAAAAGCTCATATTTTTCAGTTCTTCATCTTTCCAGCTAGTCTACCATACATAGTAGGCCTATCGAAAAAAACCGAAACCCGTTCTACGCACCCGACCCATTCCGAATTCGGTTAGAATGGGTCGGGTAGAGCGGGTAACGGGTATGAACATTCGGGTAATAGGTTAACCCGATAATAGCATAGGTCGGGTTTAAGGTATGAATATTTATTTTCGGGTATACCCGAATACCCGAATTCGTTTTTTAAATAATACCAATATGTATATAACCCTTCAGTATACATGAGTCGTCGGGTAGTACTGCAGTAGGCACGCTTAAAAAAACCCCTTCGGTATGTTATTACGATCGACGCATACGATACAACGCAAAACCTCGAAGACTCTAATCTAAATAGGCGCAATCATTACACCCTCATCGAGACATCGACTCCAGTTTGGCAGATTCCTTGATCGTTATACCAGTTTGGCAGATTCCTTGATCAATTATACTCCAACAAGGCCACGTTCCTAAATAACTCCAAGAGTATCCTGCCTTTGACAGCTTTGTTCGACTATGCAATCACAATCACAATCACAGGTATTTATGTTCGACTATGCAATCACTTAGAAGACCAATTCCTATGTTCCTTTTTCCATGATGCATGCAATTAGGTAGTAAAAGCCAACGTACCTTAGTTTCCTGTCAAAATTAGTTGCAATATCCTATGATTTCCATTTTCCAACTACTCCTTAGTTTATGCTCAAGTTACGTATTTAAGTTCCTGTAATTGCATTTTGTGAGTTTTATGAATGAAATCAGAAAAGTTGTTTTAGTATTGTCTCTTTCCTGTATCAAAAATATAAGTTGATTTGCTGCAAAAAAATCAAAAAAATAGATGTTTGATGTATAAAGCTGTCAAATGTTTGATGTATAAATGTTTAATGTTTGATGTATATGTTCTACAAAAAAATGGAATGGACTTGAATTCCTTTGTATAGATGTTTGTTGTATAAAGCTGTCAAAAGATTTAGAATTTAGATATTGACAATGATAGAAGTGTTATTTGTTGCTTTCTTGTCCATGAAAAGATTTAGAATTTGACATATTATATGTTTGTTTTGTATAACTTTTTTTGTTGTTTTCTTTTTGTTAACTGTTTTTGTTTATATTTTATTAACTTTTTTATATACTTTTAGATGTCTGAAACGAATGAGTATGTTGAAGATGAGACGATTAACCTTGAAAGCCCAACCAATGATTCAGTTCCAGTAGTAAATGAGACACGACCAAAAAAGTACAAACCAAGATCCAAAGTTTGGGATGAATTCGAAAGATTTACGGACAAAGAGGGTGTTGAAAGATCGAAATGTATGCATTGTGGTTTCGGGCGATACAAGTGTGAAGGGAAAGGGTATGGTACCAAAAATCTTTTAACTCATTTAAGCAAATGTGTGCCTTACTTAGCCAAAGTAAATGCCGGGCAAACACAAATAGCTTTTTGTGATGAAAACAAATTAACATCTTGGAAATTTGATCAAAAAGAGAGTAGGAAGGCTTTGGCACACATGTTAGTAGTTGATGAACTTCCATTTAGTTTTGTGGAAGGTGCGGGCTTTAAATATTACAATAGTGTTACTCAACCAATGTTTAAAATTCCATGTAGAAGTACAAGTACAACCGATACCTACCAATTGTTTCAAGAAGAAAAAGAAAAATTCTGAAGTTTTATTAAAAAAACATTGGTAGGATTTGTTTGACCACCGATACTTGGACTTCTACACAGCAATCAAGTTATATGTGTCTCACCGCCCACTTTGTAGACAATGAATGGAAATTGAAAAAAAAGTGTTGAGCTTTTTGTTCTCAAGAGAGTCATCGTGGGGTTGATATTGGATTAGTGATTGATAAATGTTTAATAGATTTGGGAATAAAAAATGTTTTCACAATTTCCGTTCACAACCCAAGTGTGCTAATGACGTGGCAATTGAGTTTTTTAAAAAAATCTTTCAAAATTCCAACAAGTGTCTCTTAAATGGGAAATGGACACACATGAGATGTGTTGCCCACATTTTAAACTTGGTGGTGCAAGATGGTATTAAAAAGGTTGATAAGTCGGTTGAGATAATTAGATGGGTGGTAAAGTGGATTAGGCAATCACCTTCAAGAATTGGCAAATTCACCAAGTTTGCTAAGCTTGTTAGTCCGGGTACAACGAAACACTTGGTAAGAGATGTTCCAACAAGATGGAACTCTACTTATCGTATGTTGAATATTGCCCAAGCTTATGAAAAAACTTTTGAGAGATACGATCTAGAGGAATATGAGTTTCGTCCCGACATTGAAAAGGCGGGTTTATCGATTCATTCACCGAGCGATTGGCAACATGTTAGGCATTTGTGTCATTTTTTAAAACCATTTTGTGATGTTACTGAAAGGATTTCCGGGACACTATATGTGACATCAAACACGTGCATTGAAGATATTTATTCCATTCGTACACTCTTGGATGATGCTATTTCCGATGCTAGCCTTTGTGATATTGCATTGGAAATGAGAGTAAAGTTTGATAAGTATTTTGGCGACGTAGAAAAAATGAATTTGTTGCTCTACTTTGCTTTGATTCTTGACCCGAGGAACAAAGTAAAGTATTTGGTTAACTACTTGAGGATCGTTATGGAAAAGAAAAGATGGAGGAGAAAAAGAAATATATTATGGATTCTATGTATGAATTATATAATGATTACATTAGAATTCATTCTCCAAGTACTACTTCTAGTACTACCGGGTCTAGTAATTCATCGTTGATTTTAGGGAAACGCCAAAATCCGGATGCTACGGCACCAAAACCACCATTGAGAAATAAACTAAGAGAAAAGATGAAAACAAACATAGTTGAATCAATTGGCGAGTTAGAAAAATATTTGAAAGAAAGTGTTGAAGAAGATTTGTCAATGTTTAACATTTTAGAGTGGTGGAAAGTGAATAGTCCAAGATTTCCGATTCTATCCTTGATGGCTAAAGATTTGTTTGCCATTCCCGTCTCAACTGTGGCTTCAGAATCTTTTTTTAGCACTAGCGGGAGGGTTTTGGATTCGTATAGGAGTTCTTTGACTCTTAAGATTGTTGAAAGTATAATTTTGTCCTTTTAATGCTTATACTATTTGTATAGGATTGGTAGAAGTTGGTACGTCTAATTAGAGCTCGGATTGAATATGGAAATGAATATGGCAACGTGAAGATGCAAGACTTTTTTTTGTTATGTTTGGACTTTTATGTTTTGAGTTGGGTTATGACTTATGAATTTTACTCTTTTTGTTATGTTTAGACTTTTATGTTTGGAGTTGGGTTATGACTTATGAATTTTACTCTTTTGTTATGTTTAGACTTTTATTGTTTAGTTGGGTTGTGGTTAGACTTTTTTTGTTGTGTTTAGACTTTAATTATTTAGATTTTTTTTGTTGTGTTTAGACCTATTATTCCATGCTAATCATATTCATGCCTTTTTCTTTTCTTATTTTAATTGTAGTTGTTAATTCTTTATTAAACCAACCAACATGTAAAAAAAATTATCAATAAGTGTCACTTAAGAAATTTTCGGGTATGACCGAAAATTACCCGACTCGACCTCATACTCGAATACCCGAAAACCCGAATTACAATATAGGTCGGGTATCGGATATTATTTTCTTCAGGAAATACCCGTTCTACCCGAAACCCGAAAATTTTACCCGTTCGACACCCCTATAGTCTTTAATTATTTCAAAACGCTTTCATATATATTTTTTATTAGCTTACCTATAAACATATGATCGAACATTTTATATAAATATTACATAAAACAATAAAGATAATAAAATTGTTACACTTAAATCATTCAATTTAAAATTAAATAAATAAATAATAAATGATAACATATGCGTTGCATGGTTTAAACAATATTACATCAATTACCCTTATTAAAATCATAAAATTGTTTTACATTCCTTTACGATGAACCTCGTTTAATACATTATTGATCATTACATTTCCCTTTTGCGAAAACAACAAAAACTAAGTAGGACCAGAATTCGTCTAATAGAAACTATCAACTTCAAGATGAGCTTCAATATTCGTTAATTGCAATCGACCCACACTTGCATCCTCACCAAGCCAGATTACACTCCAGAAAGAGTTGTGTTTCTAACCTTTTGATCGTTCTTACTCCACGTAAAGTTTCCTTTTATGGCTTCTGCTGCAGTAATAAGATTCTTTATCATCTTCACTTCGCTTCCCGTAATCATACATTCTACCCCTTTTGTTGTCTTTCATGGTAAGTGTTTCCCTTCCTATATTAATCATTGCATAATCCGATTTGGAGTTTCATGGACCTTAGTCGGCCGATCTTGTTAAAAACCCTTGAGTTGTTCTACTGCTTTTGTATTTTTATTGTTTATCGTAGGAAAGTAAGTTATGGGGTTTCTTGTATTTATTCTTATGTTGATTCGTGCTTAGATCTTGTTCGTGTATCGTTTGATGGTTTTATTTGATTGCTTTGTTATGGATTATTTGACTTTTATACAACAGCTGATTTTATATCTTAAAGCACCTACCATGGGGATTTTGTTTGAGGTCCATAAATCCATCGACTGGGTCTATCAAAAGTTTCATCATTGATATTTGACAACATTCTTCTTCCAATTTGGATATAGAGATTTTTTAAAAAAATATTTGATACAAAAGGGAAAAGTTAGATTATGTTTACATATAAATAAATATTATTTATTTAAAATACTTATTATACATTACTGATATATTTACTTTTAAGCACATGGTGTTACAAAGACAACACCGCGGCATATCACTCTCCATTCAAACTTACGAAATGTTTTGTGTTTGACTGTATTAAAATAAAATTAATTACTTATAAAGATAACAATCCTTTACAGCTGTACATATTTAGTTACTAAATATTTTGTACGTGTAGATCCCAAGTTAGAATATAGATCCCAAAAAAAAAAATAGTAATTAAATGTATACAGTTACAAAAGTTTATTACTTATACAAACAATTATCCATTTCTTAGCTTCTAGCATTCTTGTAAGTACATGTATAGTATCAATGTCACCAAACCTTTTTAAGGAAATTTTCTATCATTGCAAGACTTTTAATTACCCATTATATTATTTTATTCTGTTTATTAGTATATTATTCATCTTATTCAATTAGTTTTTTATATTTAAATTTTAACCCCCCAATATATATATATATATATATATATATATATATATATATATATATATATATATATATATATATTGAATAAAATTTGAAAATTTTTAAATGATTAAAATATGTATAAATGCAGTACACTTTTGCGCCGAAATTTTAAATATGCATGCTTCTCAAATCAAAAAATAAATTCATGTATTGCTTTCGTAAAATTCATGCTTTTGGTCATGTTTTGACGTAAGGTATTTAGCCTAAAGTATCGAGAGTGATAGGTTCCCCTCAACCAAAGGTTGATGGTTAAAGTCTCACATGAGATGAAAGGTGTAAATTTAAGAGTAGGGTGGTGTGTAATATGTTCTAAAAAAGTGCCAATGTTTTGACATACAATCTTGCTATGAAGGGGATGTTTGAATGTGCCTTTTAGTAGTGATTTCTGACATAAGGCTATAGATTGTTAGTTATTTTTATAAATGTTTTAACCGATCATGAGAACGGTAAACAATGTGACCTCATACATAGCTTATTGGGGGAAGCTTCCTATTTTCCGTATGTTTTGTTTAACTATTTATAATTAAAACTAAATGCAAGAACTATCAATATTTATTTGTGTATTATAACATTCTACTTCTGTTTCTTTCTATCACAAAAATTTACTTCCAATTTCTTTTTCTTATTAATATATTGTACTTTAAAAAATCTACCGAACATTGAAAATTGTTTTGTATTTGGTTGACATTGTTATGATTGTTAGATTTTTCAAATTACAAAGTTATGGTATGGAAAATAGAAGTAGGTTGCTATAATAAATAAAATGAACATTGTTGTTTATTGCATATATAGCTTATAGTTATAGAAACTTTTTCTAAGTTTCTACTTTGTGCATGTATATTTGTTTATAGGCATTGCGGATAGTTGCAGCAACGAAGGACTTAAACAATTCATTGAACATTTAAGCGAGTGGTCTAATAGTCATGGATATTGCATGTACACCCTCTTTTAACCCCCTATTAAAATGTGTATTTTTTTTTAATATTGTAAAGCGCATTGTTTGTAGAGAAATAGGGAATGGAATATTGGATTCTTGGTTTATGCCATTTGACAAACAGGTGATTTATCCACCATCTATTCTCATAAAAAAAATTTCAAAATGCCTTCTAGTTTTTGGAAAAATAAGTTTGACTTGGGGTTATTGCATTGTGTGTACTATAGACGGAAATTGCTTGTGAAAAGGTAATGAAACTAATACAAATACATTTCTTTATTTTACTTTTTAGGCATCCCAAACTTGCATGTTTCTAATTGTATATACTTTTCGTAAATATCAGGTGAAGAATATGAGTGAACTCAGTAAAGGTTACAACATAGTTTCACTTTCCCAAGTAAGGACGATTAGTATGTTAATTTGTTTTTTACATAAACACAACATTTATATCTTGTTATTGACTTTGGGCTAAATGGGATAAATGACAACATACTTCGATTTATTTATGTATTATAGCATCTTACTTTTATTTATTTTTAGTACAACATTGTCCTTTCAATCTTTACTCTTTGTTAAATGGTTGCACTTTGAAACATCTCCCATGTTGTACTTGTGATTTTTTTTCTTATTAAGACAATAAATTTTGAAAAATCTTCCTAATTATAGCAATGAAAGTTGGTTTTTATCTGAGATAATGCTTTGAATGATAGTTTTTCAAACTATAATTTTTTAATAGAAATTAATGAAAGCAGGATGTCATAATAAACAAATCATTAAAAGCATGTTGCTATTTCTTGTATCTAACCTAATTTCATTTTTTTCTTAAAAAACGACATTCTAATGAAAAAATTGGCTTCCCCAAAAGAGCAACGGCGAGATAGTTTATCAATAAAACGGATAACTCTATAGAAGTCGCTAGTATAGCTTAAAATATATTGGAAGGTGCCATAATTTACATAGTAATTACACTTTCCTTTATGGTAAGAGGTGACCACCAAAGTTTTTTTTTAATTTCTGATTTTATTTTTTAATACGAAGGGTGAAATCCGAAACAAGTGAAAAATGTATAAGTGCTTGTGATTTTGACATTGTGTAGGGTAACATGGTTGGACGAGGAGTTCTTGAATTTTGTGATGAAGCACCGCCGGTGAGTACATATGTTAAAACTGTAAAATTATAATTATAAGCCGCATTTCTTATAACATGACACGAAATGATGCATTTTGCATGCATTGGACCTAGACCGATACCAATATTTGGGACAAAAATTGCAATTTATCCAACAATGTTTGGTGTTTTTTTATTTATGCATAAAAGAGGTTTTATACCAAATATACAGCCATGTTTCATTTTAGTACCAACATGTGTATGTAACAGTGTAACGAAAACAAGTTACCTTGGTTAAATTCTTATTTGTGCAAAAACTGTTTCATTTTTTGCCAATTTATGCACTGATACGAATGATGTGACCATGTATCAACTGGTTATAATAGGTGAAAAATTACATATCATTAGCAGGTCCTCATGCCGGGGAAGCATCAATTCCATTTTGTGGTGTAAGTCTCAGATATTTTCAAGAAATACACTTGTATTGGATTCGACCACAAAAATCAATGTAACATTTTGTTCACAAAGATTTTGTTTTCATTATGCAGTCGGGTTTCTTGTGTACTCTTCTGGCTGATTTGATAGATTTGGTGGTTTATAGCGACTTTGTCCAGGTTAAATTTCATATCTTCCTCCTAACCTAACCTAAATGTAGGAAACAATAATTTACTTTCAATATTTTTATTATTGCACTATACTTTCATTTCTTCTTATTACGACATTGTACTATCAAATCATTTCTTATTGGAATTTGACAAAACATACGCACTATATCATTGGGATGACCGGTTTAAAGTGTACTAGGTTATCCACTGCTATAATTGGTTGATGTTCTAAAGTGCAGTGCCCTAATACGAAATAATTTTAAAGTACAATGTTGTAATAAGAAAACACTGAAGGTACATTTCTATAATAGGAAAACTGAAAGTGCATAGCTATTATAGAAAGTTTGAAATGTGCATTAATATTTCTTGCATTTTTTCCTATATTGTATAAGATTTGGATAAAATATGAGTATGATGCAATACCCTTATGCTATATGACAATTTAATCAATGAAATGGGCATGTCTTCTGAAAGGGAAAATCCAGATCAAACAAATGCCAAAATATGGAATATAATGAATTATAAACTAAAGATGAAGAACATGTAATCGGAAAAATTGGTATAATAATAATTTCAAATTGATGTTATCGAATTCTAATACAGAGGATTTCGAAATGAACAGAAGTCAAGATAACAACATAACTATATTGAAAAGATTTTCTAACGACTTATTTATTGACGTACAAAAGCATGATATGCTACGGAAAGTCAAATATCTTACGCCTCTAATATTGACAGGATTATAAATAAGAACATATTACTAAGTGTTAAATATACATATCAAGCAACATCATGCTCAAGCAACATCAGGGCTTGTCGATAGCCAATTTCCACAATCTTTTTATGATCATCAAAGGATATTTAGGAATTTTTTTAATATTGAAACATTTATGAATGGGTTAAATGTAACTATGTAAGAAATCACAATGTATTTTAATGATTTGTTTATGATAGCATCATAGTACCTACTTTCGTTTCTTCTTATTACAACATTGTAATTTAAAAAATCTACCCAATTATTATAATATTATCCAAATACAGATCAATTTCACCACTATATTAAGTAGATTTTTTCAACATATAACGTCTTAATAAGAAAAAATTAATGTACAAAGTTGTGATAAATGAAAGTAGGAACCTATAATACAAAACATTATAAAAGGATGTTGATATTTCTTGCGTTTATCCCTTATAAAAATTATGTGCCATTAAGATTTCAAAAATGAAGAAGTGCATAATCTCACACGACCAAATTTTGTATGAAATTTTCTACCTCAAATAAGACTCTTGACAATAAATACATTTGTTCATCCTCACAAACATTTTGATAAAGAATTTCTTATTTTGCATGTAAGATTTTATATTCTTTCTTGGGATTTGCTTGAAACTTGATATTTTCTATACAGGAAAACTTTGCCCCATCAAATTACATCAAGATCCCCACTGTGAGTACAAATACTTATTTATCTCTACATCACAACATATTAACTTGAAGGACTAAATCATCATTTCATTTTGTAGGATCTTGATGGGTATCGAGAAGGGTGTAAATTCCTACCAAAGCTAAATAACGAGTTTGAAAAAAATGCCACATACAAAGAAAGGTTCACTAGCTTACAAAATTTGGTGCTTATAATGGTAATATTATGTATCTCTTCTCTATTTTGGTAGCGATGTACAAATTTTACTACATAAGGTAGAAGTTACTATAACATAATCAACTATTTGATGTAGTTTCTCTCTTAAAATGTGATCCAGGATGATTCAGATTCAGTTTTGATACCAAAAGAAAGTTCTTGGTTTGGATACTTCCCTGATGGATCTTGGGAGCCATTACTTCCAACACAAGAGGTAAATCTTTATGCATCTCTGACTTGTATGTTAGAAGTCATCAAAGCATATGCATCCCGAAATCTTGATTTTCATTCATGTATATACAAACAATGCATCAATCAGTTGTACACCAAAGGGCTTCTAGCCCTGTAGTATAAGTGTTGTCCTCCCTCCTTAAGGTCGAGATTTCAAGTCTTGTCTTAGAAACAAATGGAATTTCAAGTAGTTTAGAATTAAATTATATTTATTTTTAAAAAATGGGTTGTACAACATTACTCATTAGCGAATCCAAAGATCCCAATTTTTGCACCATACATCAATGAGTTATACAATACAACTTATCGTCGATACTTTCCTTGATTATTGATTTTCACTTATATATGGGCATGGGCAGCGAAAGTTTGGGAGCTTCTAGTTTTTACTTCAACAAAAATTTTGATTTAAACAAAAAATTTTGTTTAGGAATATGAGGGTTTAGCTATTGAGCTTTCTCAATCAATTTCCATAATTGTCCTTAAAATATATTTATATATTTATATTTTTTAAACAATTGTCTTTTTATGTAATTTTACACATTTCAAAAGTTTCGAGCTACTTTTGCCAAATACTCATATAACAAATAAAAGTTACAGCTTCTAGCTATGAGCTATCAACTTCTGGCTACAAGCTACAAGCTGCGATCTAGTTTTGCCAAACACGTCCTATGTCTACAAACAATGAACCATACATTTATGGGTTATACAATACCACTCTTTAAATTTCTTCAATTTCATTTATGATATGGACCATGCATCCAGGGGTTTTATGGTAGAAGTATACTTAATTTTTTTGTGAAATACTAACTATATTTATGTATGTATAGACAAGACTATATATTGAAGACTGGATCGGGTTGAGGACATTGGACGAGGCTGGGAGGGTCAAATTCGTAACAGTTACGGGAGGACATCTTGAAATTTCAGATGATGATATGAAAAAATATATTGTGCCATATTTGGTAGATGAAAAAGCACTCGAGAATTCCATTATGAAAGAATCTTTGGAGAGTTACCAAAATCGGATGTTGATGCCACGAGTTATATCAGAAAACATGGTGGAAAATAAGATCTTCAACTGAAGATTATGCATCACTTGATTCTAATGTTTATTTCTTTATCAATATCTACATTTATATAACCTATAGTATACTATAAAAAACGAAAAAGAGAAGTCTTTGTGAATAATATTTCGGTGTTCATCTACTAAATTGCAAAACACTTATATTTTAGGAACAAATGTAACTAATAAGCGGTTGGATGGTCACACACCATACAAAACGGTTTCTGATTTTCTCCAAAATTTATATGTGGAGTTATATAAAAGTGGGAGAATATTGTCTTGATTAATTATAATACTTTATATACTGAATGTAAACAATTGTAAGATTAAGTACTTTTCACACCATACAAACACTTTGATTGTGTGAATAATACTTTATACAAAGTTTTATTTTCAAGTTGAAACATGACTATTATGCTTTTTAAGGGAAATATATAAAAATATATAAATCAAGTCAATTTGAGTTTTTTTAATAGGAAAAAAATATAGCAAGGAGCTAGAGGAAAAAATGTTACTTATAAGTACAAGATAAAGTTGGGTTTTAAAGCCAAATAACCCAATTAATCTTAGTTTTCCTACTCCTATTAGAAATTAAGAAAAAACGACATATCATTGAGGAAACATGATTTCCTTTCCCTCTCATTATGAACAAACAGAATACAAATGCAAAACGTACATGGCCTTAGGCCTAACAATAATAACATATATGGACTATACAAACAATAATAACCCAAAATGAATATACACTAACACCACTTCCACCTGGCAGTTTGAGCGGGGGGGGTTTAATTTGTAAAGACTCAAACTATCTCTGAAATCATGAAAAAGCGATGTCGGAAGGCCCTTGCAACATCCCAGAATACATATATTTTTTTTTGTTTTTAAGTTCATTCAAAACATACGATACTTATATCAAATCAGTCAAAAATGTATCATGGTAACATATTATCAGAGTACAAAATCCCAAAATCTCGAAATGCGGAAATCACATGGTGATGCGGTGCGATCAGGCCAGGCCCTTCCCCTGCGAACTGAAGTACCTGAAACATAAACTTAAAACTGTAAGCACAAAGATTAGTGAGTTCCCCCGAAATACCACATACCATACAAGCATACAGCCAATCATATTTGGGTGCTTGCATTCCCCTTCGGTCTATTTCAACTGGATACTATCAAGCATATTTGGGTGCTTGCAATCCCCTTCGGTCTATTTCAACCAAATACTATCAAGCATATATGGGTCCTTGCAATCCCCTTTGGTCTATTTTAACCGGATACCGGATATATTTCACCCCTACCACAACCATATAATATCATAACAAAGAATCACAAAGTCATCAAGTAAGTAAATATAGGCATAACTAACAGTTGTCGCGAAGACAATCATCATACTACATAAGGAACTAGTGGGTCAGCATTAGTGTCATCGACCTACAGATACAGTGAAGGAAATTCACCTCAGACTGAAGGTACCAAATCGCACTCAACGGATGACTCATGCAATCCTCTCCCTAAGGCACAAGTATAAAACCCTATTTAGAAATTAGGACAGTATACTAACCCAAAAGTCCAAAACCTCATTCTTGACTTTAAGGAAAAAAGGGTTTCTTCACCCTTGCCTCATTGGGCCTCCCTCCCACCAAGGCTCAAATCCATACAAGTCCAATAAGGCATCCAAGCCCAACCACAAGGCCTTTAAGGCCCAATATGACCCAAGAGTACCCAACATGCCCTAAAGCCCACAAATGCCTTGCTACAACAGTTCGGCCTAAGGCTCAAACCTAAACAAGTCAAAAGCCCAACAATACTCAAGCCCATAAATTTTCTAATTCCACAGACTGCGTAAGCGCGGTGTACATGGCTCGTACGCCTAGCGTACGCTGATGACGATCTGGAATCGGGGCACTGGCCCAGTACGCGCAGCGTACTCTAGAGTATGCCCGACGTACTGGCCAATCAGCCCAAACTTGCACCCAAGTCTTAATCCATTAAGCCCTAACGTCTAAAACTTATATCCAAGCTCATAATAGTGTCTTAAGCCATAAAGTTGCAAATTTTATGCACTTGCATGCCTTAATGGGACTCAAACCATGAATTAAGCCCTCTAACTCTCTTAGGTGGTCACTAACACATTCATGATTGATTTAACCTCCAAGATACGATTTTTATGAATCTATGCACTCCCAAGAGTCCAAAAGGACAGACCAAATGGCCTGGAGTAGCCCATACTCCAAAAGACCAAGTTATGGGACCAAAAGATGCTAAAATCTTCCCTAAGTCTAGATCTAAGCTTACAATGAAGAAGTTTCAGACTTTATACCTTCAATAGGCTAGAAATAATGCACAAACTCAGGATCTACAAGCTCCTTCTTCTCTTTTGCCTCTTTTGAAACTCCTAAGCTCAAAAATGCACTCAAGATGGCTACGTTTTCAATATTAGCACTAAAAGGCAATAGAGGTTGAAAGGTTGATGCACTTGAAGAACTTAAGGACCTTTAATAGGGTGCAAACGTTAAAAATTAGGGTTTTCCCCTGGATGTGCATGCAAGGAGTACGTCGTGCGTACCAAATGTACGCCCAACATACTCACGAACCCCTTCACCACCATTTAGTTTAATTAAATAGGACAATAGATTAATTTCATACTTGGCGACTCAGGCGCTACAATTCTCCCCTACTTGAATCAGACTTCGTCCTCGAAGTCCTCTGCCGAAAATAACTCTTGGTAATGCTCCCTCATCTAGTCCTCCGGCTCCCATATCCATTTTGAACACTTGCAGTGCTGCCACTGCACCTTTACAAACTTAAAAACCTTGTTCCTCAAGGTCTTCGTCCCCTATCGAGCATCGCTACCGGCCTCTCAATGTAGTTTAGGCAGTCGTCCACCTGAATATCCTCCAATAGAACCATTGTGGAATCATCAGCCAAACACTTCCGTAGCTGAGATACATGAAATGTACTGTGAAACTGACTGAGTTCCTCCGGAAGATCCAACTGATACGCTACCCTACCCACGTGGGCTATAACCCTGAAAGAATCGATATAACTGGGGACCAGCTTGCCCCGCTTCCTGAATCGGATGCCACCTTTCCAAGGTGACACCTTCAAGAGAACCATATCCCCAACCTGAAACTCCAGGTCTGATCAGCTCTTATCGGTATATCTCTTCTGCCGACTCTGAACTGTCTGAAGTCTACTCCGAACTAGTTGAATCAACTCGGTGGTCTTGAGTAACACTTCAGTACTCATCATGACTCGCTGACCGACCTCTCCCCACCATATCGGGGTCATGCATTTCCTCCTATAGAGCATCTTAAAAGGAGGTCGATCAATGCTGGCGTGGTAGCTATTGTTATACGGAAATTCATCTAACTGAAGATACGTATCCTAAATACCGCCAAAGTCCAGAACACATGCCCGCATCATATCCGCGAATGTCTGGATGGTCCGCTCGCTCTGACCATCCTTCTGTGGGTGAAAGGTCGTGCTGAAATGCAGACGGATACCCAACTCCTCGTGAAACCTCTTCCAAATCCTGGAAGTGAATCGGAGATCCCTGTCTGATATTATTGAAACAGACACCCCATGTCATGCCACAACCTCCCTAATATAAATGTCAACCAATTTCTCCAAGGGGATACTCCCCTGAATTGGGATAAAGTGTGCGCTCTTGGTCAATCGATCTATGATAACCCAAATCAAATCTACTATGTGCGCTGTTCGGTTCAGTTTCGTAATGAAATCCATGGTAATCTCTTCCCACTTCCAAACAGGAATGTCTAACGGTTGCATCTTGCCGTGAGGCCGCTGATGTTCGGCCTTGACTTTCCTGCAAGTCAAGCACCTCTCCACGTACCATGCAACGTCCCGTTTCATACAGGTCCACCGATAATCAGGACCGAGATCTTTATACATCTCTGTCGCCCTGGGATGAATGGAGAACCTCGATTTGTACGCATCCTCCATCAGAACCTGACGTGCACATCCCCAATAAGGAACCCACACTCTCCGATGGAGAGTCGATAAACCCCGGATATCATAATCGAAGGAATCCACCTGACCCGCTATGTGCTTACTCTTTCGGTACTCTTCCTTCATAGCCTAGACATGAGCCTCCCTAATTTGCTCCAAGTGTGGAGTAATCACTGTCATCCTCATGCAGGTATCCATGATCGGAGCCTCGACCGCCTTGCGGCTGAGAGCATCGGCCACCACATTGGCCTTTCCTGGATGGTAAAGGATCTCACACTCATAATCCTTCACCATGTCCAACCACCGACGTTTTTTCATATTCAGATTCAGCTGATCCATCAAGTACCTCAGGCTCTTGTGATCTGTGTAAATAGTACAGCGGGCTCCATAAAGGTAGTGTCACCAAATCTTGAGGGCGAAAACTATTGGATAAGGTGTCTAAGTCCATAACTATATTTGGTATGTACTTGACCTGAGAGTAGCATGGTCCATTTGGGTTGCATGGCACCGGAACAATCTGAAGGATGGACTTTTGAGAAGAGGATATTTATGATTTATTAATATATTATAAGTTCTAATATATATTAATATGAAATCACATTATTTAATTAGTATTGATCAAGAATCAATTTGGAATTAATTTTGTTATCAAAAGAGACTAATTAAATATATGGGGACTGATTGTGTAAATCATCAATTCTTATAAAGTGGGCCAAAGATCCATGATTCTTTATATTGGGCTAAACCCATGTGACAACCCATGGATGATCCATGGAGGTTTAAACCCATGGAGCATAAGGAATATGGAAGGTCATGCACATTAGGGTTTACATGGTGTAACCCTAGTTGTGTCACACTATATAAGAAACCTCATGGCTACTAAAATTGGCACTTAAGTGAGATTCAAGAAGGCTAGCCGATTTTGTGTGTGCAAGACAATCTCTTCTCAAGTCCTCCATTGTTTGTGGTGTTGTGTGAAGCATTTGAGGCATCACACTTGGGGTGCAAGGCTCTTAAAGGCTTAAGGTTCCAAGGCTACAACAAAGG